GATGTAATGTCTCACAATTTGTGAGACTCAAAGGTAATATTTTTTTTTCAGTAGACATTAATAAGATCAAGAAAAGAGTCATCCAAAAAATGCACTTAATTTTTCCAGAGTGGAAAGAATGGGCTTCTTTAACCCATTGATTTGGGAAAGCCACATTGATAAGTCACTGCTCTGGTGTGCTAAGAGGCACCCTAAAACAATTAATACAATCTCTAAAGTGCCCAGCGTGCTCTCAGGTGGTAAATACCTTTAGTGAAGTGTAATATTAAAGAAAATACATCAAAAGGTGTGGAAAGATTAAATATATCTTTTCCCTAGCCTCCCTGGAAGGTATCATTTTATGGCCACCTAATTTCTCTTCCTGTCTTGAGAAGCAGCAACTTCTACAGTTGTTACAATTGTTATAATTTCATTTGTGACCCTGAGCTGAGCAGATAGGTTTTTTAGTGATTTACCTTTTGTATTAATGAGGATGATGTTTTCATCAGTTTTACAGCTTTAGTTGGATCTTGTTAAGTTCCCAGGAAAATCTTATTTCAAAGTCAGCCTTCTAAGAATAAAAATGGAACCCAGAATCAGATGCTTCATGGGTTTTCATTTTAGGCTTCTATCTTGTTGAATTGTAAAAGCAGTGTTAAGATCTTCATAAGGACTTGGACAACTGATTACAATGCATGAAAATACCTTTAATTAAGCAACTCCTTGCTCTGTCATATTTATTCTATAAAGATTGGGGGTTTTGTTTTTGGTAAATTAATTTACAATATTGGATAATACAAAATTCATAACAAAAGGGTCATTATTTTTATCCAATTTCTATGATTGAATTTGAATATAGGCAATGTCGAATTTGCATGGTATTACCCTAATGTATGTAGTTAAACATGCAATAACTTGCTATGTTGTTACAACATGAACAAAATGATGATCATATCAACTTGTATATATGCACACGTAGTGTATATACCCTACATAACTTCTATTATGGTTTAGTACTTCGGTTTTAATATTGTTTCTATTTAATGAAATTATATTAATTTTCTAATTATATAATAATCTTCCTGTTTCATAATCTGGAATCATTGTAGATAGTTGTGATTTTAATTGTATGATCACTAATGTTAAAACTTGGGGGATTATTATGCATTCTGAATTTGAGGTACTAATTTTTAAAAGCTTATGTATTTTTTATAAGCTATACTTTAATACCTTTGGGAATTCTAATATTAAATTGATATTACTAGGAATTTTGACATTACCATGTGCATGGTTCTTGAATATTATGATTAGCAATCATGTCCATTAAGTGAAACAAGACAAACTCACATTTCCAAACAGGCTGTTTTTACATATGAGCCACAAAATTTTATTACTGTTCACATTAAATAAAAAAATGAGAACTTCTGTTTTGAATAAATTCTAATGTTCATTCTAGATATGTCTGATTATAGATGTATTCTTTAACTATCATTTGCAAAGAATATAACCTTACTATAAGGAGGAGATGAATAAAATATTAGATGAAGAACAGACTTTTTTTGTCTACAGAACAGTAATACGCTATTAAAAATTATTACCTATAATATTACTTTATGTTTCAGTTAACTTCTAATTTTCCTTTGGGGAGTACACATACAAGGACAAAAATGATAGTGATCCTATTCCCATAATTACTTTATCTCATAGTTATTAGATTAATAATACTGCAGTATTTTAAGTGCCATGTGGATTTATGGTGAGTACAGTGATAAAGGCTAATAGGCTGGAATTTCAACATAAGTCAAAATTATATCCATTCCAATTAAAGGAGAAAGTGTATGCCTTCCTTTGGAATTGATCAGAAAGTAAAAGTTTAGTATTTTTGTACTTGATACCTCACAGTGCAGGCATGGCTTAGTTAAAAAATGACAACGACTATTTTTATATAGTAGTTCCAGTAAATTTAAAGCTTTATAAATTCGTTCAAGCAAAAAAATCATGAATATATGAGTTATGCAATATATGTTTATGATATTAATCATTGGACATACTTTATTAACTATTGTAGGTTAAGTATTTTTTTGTCGCTTACTATGGAAGTTTAGGAAGGATGTTTATTTTTTATTTGGTACTTTAACATTTTACATTTCAGTAATAAAAACATAAAAAACATAAAAACAACCTTATACAGCTCAGAAAGTAGCAACCAATGAGATACCAGATATACAATGATTATTCTCTAACTTATAATCTATTTAATGAAGGAGTAAATAAACACATACAATTATTGTAATGTTAAATATATCTCAATTAATTATTAATATAGTTTTAGAATTAATGAGGAATTGAGAGTTGTATTTTTTTTGTTTTGTGTTGCTTGAAAAATATAAAAATCAACTTAACATTTGATATTGTAATAATTCCCTGTGTTGTTCAGTCATTTTCAGTCATGTCTGACTTTTTGTGACCCCACTTGGGTTTTTTTTGGCAAAGATATTAGATAGGGTTGCTATTTCCTTCTCCAGTTCATTTTACAGATGAGGAAACTGAGGCAAACATGGTTAAGTAACTTGCCCAGGGTCAAACAGCTAATAAGTGTCTAAGGTCAGATTTAAACTTAGGAAGATAAATCTGGGCCTGGCAGTCTATTCATTCTGCTGCCTAGCTGCCTTCAATAATTTCTCAGGACATACTAACATATTTTGGTTTCCACAGGGAACAAAAAATTAATTAGAATCACCATATATCTAAATCTAATGGTTCTGAAAGCACCAAAAAGTCCTCATATAGTGAAAGGAATATTGGATGTGGAATGAAAAGACCTAGGTTGGAATTCCTGCTTCATTACTTATTTGCAATATAATCTTGGGCAACTGCTTACCTTCTCAGGGCCTCATTTTCTTTAAATGTAAAATGAAGGAGAAGGAAGAATTGGGATAGATTCCTTCTTTGATCACTACAGCTTTGGATCTGTGATATTATGATCTTGTATCACAGGGTAGTTTTTGCCTATAATGCCATAGCCCAGGTTCCTGAAGATCCATTTAGAGCATGGCTTAAAAGTCTATGATAATTTTCTTGTGGGATCTCAGAGTGAATTCTCACTTTCACAATGAGTTTTTTCCAGGTTGCTATATTGTAACACAACTACGCTAAGATTTATTTATGTATTTATGTATTTATTTTTTGGTGAGGGCAATTGGGGTTAGGTGACTTGCCCAGAGTAACACAGCTAGTGAGTGTTATGAGCCTGAGGCCGAATTTGAACTCAGGTCCTCCTGACTCTCAGGCTGGTGCTCCATCCACTGTGCCACCTAGCTGCCCCAAGATTTATTTTTACCAATGAGTCATAGAATCTTAGGCTGTTAGAGCTAGAAAGAACCGTAGAATCATCTAGAATTATCTCCCTCGTACTTACAGATGAGGAAACTGCCCAAGGTCACATAGTGATTTAATGATAGAGTTTGAACTAG